GTTTTTGTTAAAATAAATGGTTCTATATGCATCTATTGTATATCAAAATATTTCTCTTGAACAAAATAAGTCAGAATGATTTAATTTTTATTGATGAAACTTAATATTTTTGTAAAAATCGGGGTCTTTAAAGATAGCAGATTGTGTGCACGGACCAGTTTGACGTTACACTAATTTCATTAAAACGTCAAACATTTGGATTTTGACTTAACACATGTTCATGGACACACCCTACATTTCTTTTTAAGAGCGCAATGCACTTCGAAGTGCTAGCAATAATCTTTAAGTATAGATTATGATTTATTTAATTTTTAAAATTCAAAACAATGCACACAACCTTACGAGCGTCATCTAAATTCTAAATTGAAACAGTTTGTATAGCGAAACTGAACAGCCCTGTCCGACGCTGCGCTAGATTTATAATAACGTCATGAATAGAAATCTCCATTTACAGTCAATTACATGTGTTTTTTAAATTCTCGTAGTGTCTTCGAATTTGTACACAATGTTGAAAAATCATATATACGAATCGATACATTCAATATATTTCAATAATTTTGAGTAGTTTTAACAAATATTTTGTCTCTTATATATATTTTTTTCAACCGTTATAAAACTTATTTTTTTGACCGGACGCTGCCCCATGCCGACGGACGACGACACTTTTTCTGTTGAGTTTTGGCACGTACTTGTTAAGGTTTTCTTTGTGTATTTTCGTTGTCTATATAGTAAGCGATATTTAAGATATGATAAAATGATTATAACCTCTTTATTTGTGTTACATAAAATTTTTCCTAATTTTTGACTTGTTTTATATAGAATATAATCATTTTAATCCGAACTCTTTATATCTGAGTTTACATCATTTGAACCTTGGTCCGCGCGCACTATCTGCGACCTCTAAAGACCCCGATTTTTACAAAAATATTACGTTACATCAATAAAAACTAATTCATTCTGACTTATTTTTTCACAAGAAATATTTTGATATACAACAGATTTATATAGAACCATTTATTTTCACAAAAACGTCATTGTCCACGAACTTTTTGGACAACCCTCGTACATTACGTGAGGATGTTTCCATATCAAGATTATACAAGCAAATTCAAAGAATTGTGGTCCTCTGATTTCTGTGTTTTAGTGAATGGGATGCATAATTTATGGCAGATAGTTTTTCAAATATGCATTCATATCATATGTCAATTTTTGAAAATTAGGTCAAAGGGAAAATTTTTTAACATTCTATTGCAGGTAATGTACATGTCAAATATGAAAGACCTATCTCTTTTCCATCAGAAGTTATATATATAATATAATATTTTTGAAAAGTAGGTTAAAGTTCTAGGTCAAGGTCACAGAGTCAAAATTCATGATAAATTATATTTAGAAAAGTCTTTTCACATGTAATATACATGACTTTGAATGCCCTTTTTTCTCTTTCAAAATGATCGATTTAAAATGTTTTTTTTTTAAGTAGGTAAAACTTTAAGGTCAAAATCTCACTTGGGTTAAAGTATCATAGTATATTTAGAAAGTTTTGTGGTAATGTACATGTGAAATATGAAAGCCCTATCTCTTATCATTCAAAAGTTAAGACCAAGGTTAAATTTATTGTGACAGATGCACATACTGTCAATAAGATGGACAGACTGACAGACAAATGAGATTTAATATCCCCTTCCAAAAATGGGGGACAATAATGCCCTTGCTGTTCTGGAGAAGAAGATTTATGATGGAAAAAAATCCCATGCATACTTCTCAACGCAAATCAATATTGTGTTTTTATGTCGTTTGTTTGTTGTTAAACATCCCTCTCAGGAATTTTTCACTCATATTAAGGCACCACAAATTGAAAACTTTTAAAATTGATAAATTAGCACTCGCTTATTAATCAAAAGCACATAATATGTTTTCTTGTTATTAAAAGTAGTGCAGCCTGTGAAACTTTGAATGGTAATACATACTGCGACTACTAGTATATATTTTAGTCATTTTAGTCATTTTAGTCATTTTAGTGGAATTTGTCATAAATATTGAATAGAATCTGAAAATTGTAAAAAATACTAATTTAAACATTGTCGTTCGTCGACTTTATCAACTGAAAAATGCTGAACAGTTTTTCCGAATAAAATTATAAATTTTATTCCATGTTTTCATTTCACTGCAAAAATCTGTATTTAGATCAGTGTGTCTCAAATCTAATTAAACTAACATTAAAAATCTTCGGGATATGACAGTACATCATCCACTAACAGAAAAAAATTAAAGTGTTTTTTTATGATAAAGCTGTCAAAGTATTCAGTTGGAATTTGTACCTCAATGTGAAAGTTTGATGTTAGGTGGTACATATGGTGTCCATGCACATTTTTATTAATGAATAATATCTAATAAAAGATATCATAATAGAAAAGATAATCATTATATACTGAAAGGAAAAAGAAACGCATATTTTACTTTTAAATTAAATTAAAACTATTATTTCGAAAAAATTTTCCAGTATTGTTATCAAAAATTTTAATTAATCTTTAATCTACAAGTTACCAAAATCTTGTGTGACTTTGACTGATGATTCCTGAGTTATTGAAATTGATATGTCGATACCCCCCGAAGTTAAAATAAAAATTCTCATCATCTCCCTTGCACATTGGTAACAGCCTTGATTTTCCTGTGCATTGAGTTCACCAGAGCATTTATCTTTCTCATTTGATTATTATTCACCTCTTCCGACAATAGTCTTAATGGTTGATAGAAGCTGTATTATTCCAAAGCCAACAAATCCAACCCCCCGCCAAAGTGCCACGAATTTCATTTTAGGATAGAATTTACAGAATCCAGCTGGTTTGGTACACGTGAATGTTTGTGAAAAAGTCTCGACAAACACTGGCTACATTTTCCGAGTATGAACATGCTAAAAACATTACGCACACTACGCGTACGTGTGCGCGTGAGAGTAAAATCGACGTAAAAGTTGCCAAGCTTGCAGACCAAATTAGAGCAGAGAATTTCTGTCAATTTTAGGGTGAAAATATTGGTATGATAGTTTGCTGCATAAATATCGGTTTCAGTGATAATACCTTGACAACAACCGAGGTGACATGATGAAAAGCCCTGTCTTGATGTGACGTTGTTACGCGTCAACGTCACCGCCATGGTTGGTTGGAAACCTTTTAATTTACTCTCTGACAACTGAAAAACCTTTTTTTGTTGAAAAGTTTAAAACAAACTGCACAGCAACATCTTGTTGCCTTTTTATTCACTGACGCAATTCAATTACTGGAACCAGTGTAACTTCCGTCAGCCATACCATGATTGCACGAAATTTATACTGATTTCAAATGCGGAAAACGATGTCTATAACTCCAATGCATCGATTAGCACCACAAAATGTGATCATAAAATTGTCATCATCAACATGCACGTCTTTTTGGCTTTTTATCATTTCCCCTACGTGACGCCATACATTTCATGGTTGAGTAATTTTGACCAGCAATTTTAATGCACAGTAATCAAAATACACATTTGACCAATTTTCATAATTTTCGGCATATGGTTAAATATATTTTGCTATTATGCTATTATGCGTTTCTTTTTCCTTTCAGTAAACATTAACACAATCAAGATATGTAGTCACTAATACCTTGCTTATGATGTATGTTTATGACACAATTATAATCACTGGAGATTCTTGTACACTTTCAGTATGATGGTGGTTAATTGTCCCACATAGAGATTGTTCTCATCATCCACACAAACACAACGGGGAAATCCTACCCCTTGTTGTTGTGTGAGAAAAAGAGATCGTTCTGACCAAGGAGGTGAACAGAGTCACTGACACCATCACACATTAGAATGTGGCCGAGGACATTAGTGCAGATTCCAAATGGACAGAACTCTGACTTCTGACCTACGCAGGAAAACATGTATTTTCCGGATTTATTCACTACCACAACTGAACTACTAATGTTTGATGTACAGATATCTCCATTGATGTTTTCTGTGATGTAGTGGGGTGTTCCATAGAGTCCCTGTCCTTTGTCATCCTTCTGTATGTTCTGTAGTTCTTTTCCTGTCTTGTTGTACCTGGTGACTTAAGCCTCTCCACCCTTGTCCATCCCAACCAGTAAGTCCCCGTTAATAAGGGATGAGTGTACGCTGAATGGCTTCCAATCTCCAGTTTTAATGAATTGAGTGATATTGTTATCGTGTGTTATCTTATTGCTGACTTTCTTGTCTTTGTATGTAAGGATCAGATTCCCATCCCGTGTAACTGTATGGTAGCCTACAGATTTAGTTGGGCTCATTGCTCGTAGAACGATGCCCGGTTACAGCGACGGTGAGCAACAGGAAATACTGTTTCTTCACCGCCAAACTGAGTTTACGAGTAAAAATATAGTACGTACGCCCAGTCGCTGTTGAGAAAAATAAAATCAATTCAAACTCCGTAAGAATTAGTAAATTGAATATTTTTATCAAAATATTAAATTGTTTAATATTTTTCCTGGCTCATTTGACTAATATTTTAAAAAGCATTTCAAACGCTGCGAAAGGATGTCACCATGTATCAATGTCTGCGTCATATTCTATATATAAAGGTTGTACTATCAGGCTAACACAAATGCGGGGAACATCATTAATGACTTGATGCAAAACTCCTTGCTGAGGACACAACAATGCAGAGTCGTTTGATCTTAATTAATCTTGCTGCATCTGTGTGTATTTACTTCTGTTTGTATATAAAACCGTTACCCGAAACGATACATGTGATAAATATTTTACGCTGTTAAACTCTAGCTATATTTTATTGAATGTTTAAAACTTTTTAATACTAAACATGCCATTGATTATCTTCTGTATCACATTCCCCTGTAGATCTGTTTCGACAAGATTACCTTCTTCATCACTGCGCCAGAGTCTGTCTGCTTGATCTAGTGATACATGGTATAAATAATCAAAGCCTGGTACATTGAACTCCCTGACCTTGGTGTTTCTTTTCAGGTTTATTTTTCTTTTTCTTTCATCTCCTTAAGTGTAGATTTCATCTCTGTATTGTAGACACTTTCAATGGGACGTATTTCTCTATTCTCTGATTTAGTGTTAGGGACATGTGTTTTACCAAGTAATTTGGCGACATCACATTTGTTGTATTGACCAGCAGTAAATCCTGGTGTGACTGGTTTTGATGTCTTTGGTATGGATCGAATTTTTGGCTTCTTCTTAAACATTAATTTCTGGGGTTCTGTAAAGGAAAAGCATTCTTGGAACTCTTTGACAAGATTATGAAGATAAGTGATGTAATCATCCAAAGTCTTGTCTTGGGTGTTCAGATTTTCTAGCAGTGAATGCTCTATTTGGTCTATCTGCCTCATGTTCTCAGATACGACAGTGTCCACCAGACTTTTCAGGGTTTCACCTTCAGTCTTCATGGCTGTTCTGATGTTGCTCATGTTCTGTTTAATTTCTGTTGAATCTTTTTTTATTTCTTTCTGTAAACTTTCTGATGTAGGAATAAAGTACTCGTGAATTTTAAAGATTTCTTCTTGAAAGGCTTCGTATTTTTCAGCATACATTGTTTCCAGATCAAAAAATAAATGCCCCCGATGCTCTCTTTGTGTGACACATTTGGAACACACTGAATCTTGGCATTCTTCACAGAGCTGGGGTGGATCTCACATTTCTCCACAGGAAGCTGTCTTTTGCGTTGCCGGTAAAGAACCACCTCATGCTTTTTCTGTTTTTGGATTTTTCAGATGTTCTTCTTTACATTGTTTACACAATTTTAAATAGCAATTGTTACAATAGAACTCACAGTTTCTTCCACATTCTTCAATATCACACTCTAAAAAATGCTGGCCTTTGGGAGGAAAATCCATTTTTGATAATGCATCTATAAATGATAATTGATAACTCGTCAAAAATTATAAGAAAATAGGTATTACGAATTCTCAATTATAAAATAATATATTTTCACAATTATGCATTATTTTATACATGTATTAACTAAATTATCTTTTTCTAAACAACAGGTACATATTCGTCTTTTTAAAAGTAAATATTTTCATGCACTGTATGTAAAAATCAGATAACGTTTTTCCTCGAGCAAACTAACACAATCTCTAGATACTGTCTAAACTGACCTTAACCTCCATCCCCCTAAAATGTCCTTTAAAAAAGTCATACAATTTTACGTGTAACTGTGTCCTATTTGTGTGAAATAAATTTTCAACTTTTCTGTTAGAATGTTGGGAATTTAAAACATCTGTTTCTCTTTTCATACGAATGAAATCGAAGCAAACAGAAATGTGAAACGGACCGATAAACGGACAAAAAGACAGGGACAAAGGAGTCGTTCGACAATTAGACAGACATCCAGACAGTTAATGAGATTCTTTATTATATTAGTATTATATTATTGTAGCTTTCGTTTTTGAGGGGCTGTGAAAATCTTTAAAGGTATGTACCGTTTTAATTTATACCGAAACATCCGTGAATCAACAAATCCTAATTCATAAAAGTAAATTATAATAAAAATACATACTAACAGCTATTTAATCAATAATCTATTAATGACTTTGCTGACTGACTTTGGAATGTCAGGACAAAAATGCTCAGGTGAGACTTGAACGAGATATGTAATTTATACTTCTTGGTTGTAGATAAAAATAGATTTCGATTTAAATACTGACATACAAATTATCATACACATTACTGTTGAAGGGCACCTTTAGTGGAATATTTTCTTTTCACTATTCAATAAAAATAACTTACATGAACCTTGCTTTCTAGCGAAACATACGAGGGTGAAAGCAGCAAACACTGTCTTATCAGCTGTGGAATACGATGGCTGATATTAGCCTGTACATATACTGACTGCTGTTGAAATTTGTACATTTAAAATGTACATTGACATGTACATTTTGCAATGACAGTGCACACTCTGTGCTCTTAACTTTTGTCTGTACATGGACAAAATGGCAATGACAGTGCACATTTTGTGCTCTTAACCTTTGTATGTACATATTAAGCGAATTCCATAAACGGATTTCTACAGCTTTTTAACTCCTCTAATGAAGAATTTGTTTATTTTTAATGATATATAACACAAACATTTTGATCAAAGAGCAAGTATCTCTTTTTCCCCTCTTTTAAGAATACAATAAAATGTAGTTGGTTCGCTCGGCCAAACAACGTCATTCGTTTTGGATATTGTAAATTTTATAAGTTTAAGTGTAAATAGATATAATAAAGGATAGTTTTAGAAATATTAATGAGTATTCTCACTGTGAAAGTTTTTGAGAAACTTTTACGTTGTCGGGAGATTTTAGCAATTTTTATTCAATATTTTTCCTTCGAAAATTAAAAAAAAAAAATTCTTTTCTGTGAATTACATGTAAGAGATTTTTTTTTGCAATTTATCTTGAAAAATTTGTATATTTAGAATTGATTGGGAAAACTTTCATTTGTTTACACACAATTATGAATTTTATTTACCGATCTTTATCTTTATCTTAATTGCTTTGTGTAAACAATGTTTAGATAGCTAGAGTGATCGAATAAAATTTCATGACTTCCTTGATTTGAAGAAGGATAAGTCGCACGTCAAAGAAAATGTTGGATGTAATATAACACTACATTTTCATCACTATCCTTCTGTGTTCAATAAACCAGAAGTGAAAAAAGAATTAGATAGATTACACGATCAGTACGTACTGGTTCCTGCCGACAAAGCAGGTAACAACATTGTCTTCGTTTGTAAGGCTCATTATATAAATTGCATTCTAGAAGAACTTGGATTTAATTCTACAAGTGGTAATCCTACTTATACATATACTTCTCTTTCTAAGGAAGAAATTCTTCAAAATCACCTGTCAGTTTTGAATACTTTTAATATTCCACAGAACCAAAATGAATTTGAACTACCTTATATATATTGGATTCCGAAACTTCATAAGAATCCTTACAAACAAAGATACATTGCAGGTTCCAGTAAATGTTCAACCAAGCCTCTTTCGTTACTTCTCACTAAAATATTGACAGTAGTGAAGGAAAAACTTCAAGAGTACTGTACAACTATATATTCAAGAAGTGGTGTAAATCAGATGTGGATACTTAAAAATTCTAAAGAACTTTTGGACAATTTGAAATCACAAGACTTTACAAAAATCAACAGCATAAAAACTTACGACTTTTCAACTTTATACACAACAATTCCCCACGACAAATTAAAATCCAGGCTTTTTGATATCATTGACAGCTGCTTCTTCAACAAAAATGGAACTCGTAAGTTTACTTACCTCGTCATTGGTCATTTGAAAAATTATTTTGTTAAAACAGATTCTGATTGCACACATAAGTACTCTGAAGTTGACATCAAGAAGATGCTTGAGTTTCTGATTGACAATATCTATGTGGTTTTTGGAGACCAGGTATTCCAACAATCTATTGGAATTCCCATGGGTACAAATTGCGCTCCGTTATTAGCAGACTTATTTTTATATTCATATGAAGCAGAATTTATGCAAAATCTTTTGCGTGAAAAGAAGAAAACACTTGCTGTGGCCTTCAACTCGACATTTAGATATATCAATGACGTATTGTCAATTAATAATGATAATTTCCATTCCTAAGTCGACACGATATATCCTGGTGAGCTTGAGATAAAAGATACCACAAAATCCGACATTTCTGCTTCATACTTGGATATTTTACTTGAAAAAGACACTAATGGTAATCTAACAACCAAGCTATATGATAAACGTGATGACTTTAACTTTTCTATCGTCAACTTCCCTTACTTATGCAGCAATATACCTTCATCACCTGCATACGGAGTATTTATATCTCAGTTGATTCGATACGCAAGAGCATGCTCTACGTATGAACAATTTCTTAAAAGAGGTAAATTATTGACAAGCAAGTTGATGAAACAAGAATATCAACAGTCTCATTTAAAGTCATCATTTCGTAAATTCTATGGTCGATACAATGACCTTGTCAGCAAATACAATTTATCATTGAATGAAATGCTGACTGACGTTTTTCATACCAATTGTTAGTCAATTATTTATACACTTAATTGACCACGGATTTTTTTCCGTTATTTCCTGATTATGACAACGAGCACACGGCGGGTGTGACCGGTCGGCAGGGGATGCTCACTCCTCCATGGCACCTGATCCCACCTCTGATGTTTCGGAGCTCCGTGTTTGCTCTGCTCTTATTTTGTATATTTGTTTAATGGACGTTGAGAATGAATACTGTTCGTTATTTCCATAGCCTTCTATTAAAAAAATGCTTCCAAAACTTCAAGAAAAACGTTTTTTTAAATATATTGTAATTATTCCATTTCTATTTGTTATCTTTTTGATAGCGCTTTAAAACTTTGTCGAGTTGATTTGTTGATGATTCAACCGGAATTGGAATTTCACCAGGTGATAAGTCAGGAGCTAAGAAAGCCTCATATGCATGTAGATATCATGTGGTTTTCTTAAATTTGTGTCTGACGTAAGTCGGCGAAGAAATTGACATGAAAGGCTACGTGTAATTTAAAATCTATGAGACAATGTCTTTGAAGCTAAATTTACAATTTTATTTCACATTGAAATTTAAATATAAGGAATTTATAATTTACAATTTTATTTCACATTGAAATGAAAATATAAGGAAAAACTGTCTAGTCTTGGGGTATGCTAGAGGTATCAAACGTATAATAACTATTATGAAAGTATGCATAACGAACTTTGCCCCTTATGCAAATTATCCCATTTGATCAACTATCATTGATGCTCTAGCATGTCCAACAAATTAAACTAGACAGTGTTTCATGTACAATTTAAAGATACCTACCCTGAAATAAGATTTTTGTAAAAATATAAAATTCAGTTGTGTACAATTTTTGCAAATACGTGTATTGCTATTATGGCGGAATTCTGTTCGCTAGACAATGTTATTTTATTCGGAAATTGTAAATAAAGACTTTTGTAAAACACTGTATATTTATAAATATATCAATCATTTCTACAATGCTCTTTTCAAATTTTTTTTTTTCAAAATACCTTATTGTTACAATTAAGAGAAAAAATTCATTAATTAATAATTCAAGATATTTTAATGTTTTATATATTTTCTAAAAAAAAAAAAATACAATAACTTTATACTTCATTTTACTCTTTGAAATAGATTTTAAATTATCGAAAATTAGTCTTTGCACTCATAATTTCTTTCCTCTTGCAAATAAATGATTTGTGTTCAAAATTATATACATATACTCTTCAAAAAAAAAACGCATCTTAGAATTTAAGTGACACATTGAACATAAAGATTATTTAGTAAAATGATGCATTAATAAAACAGAAATGTGGCAAGCAACAGGATTATTATCTAAATGTCATAATTACTCAACAATTTTAAAATTATAGTCAGTTTAAGACCATTAAAGATCAATATCTGGTATGCCCCCCGCAGACACAAATGATAGCCACAAACAGCATCAAAGGGAAGCAAATGTGTGTAATAAAAACTGTATAGGAATACTCTCCCACTCCAAATGTAAAACTTTAGCCAGCTGTTG